TGCTTGTCATTTCTTTTTTTGTTGTTTTGTTTTACAAATTCCTTTTTTGTTGTTGTTAATTTATTTATTTTTAGTTTTCAGCATTCACTTCCACAAAGATTTTGAGTTCCAAATTTTCTCCCCATCTTGTCCCTTCCCCCACCCCAAGATGGCATGCATTCTGAATACCCCTTCCCCTAATCTGTTCCCCTTCTATCTCTAGCCCCCACTTCTCTTATCCCCTTTTCCTTCTATTTTGTAGGGCAGGATTTCTATACCTCAGTGCCTGTATATCTGATTTCCCAGTTGCATGTGAAAACAATTAACGTTTTTTAAAAAAACTTTGGGTTCCAAATTTTCTCCCTTTCTCCCTCCCCCCCCACCCTCATTGAGAAGGCACTGCTTGTCATTTCTTAGAGCACAATGATATTCCATTACAATCATATACCACAGCTTGTTTAGCCATTCCCAATTGATGGGCGTCCCTTTGATTTCCAATTCTTAGCCACCACAAAAAAGAGCTGCTATAAATATTTTTGTACAAATAGGTCCTTTTCTCTTTTTTTGATATCTTTGGGATATAGACCTAGTAGTGGTATTGCTGGGTCAAAGGGTATGTATAGTTTTATAATCTTTTCAGCATAGTTCCAAATTGTTCTCCAGAATGGTTGGATCAGTTCATAATTCCACCAGCAGTGTATTAGTGTCCCAGTTTTCCCACATCCCCTCCAACATCCAACATTCTGTTGATGTGAGGTTGAGGTGTGAGGTGGTACCTCAGAGTTATTTTAATTTGCATTTCTCTGATCAATAGTGATTTAGAGAATTTTCTGAAACTCATTTTTGCTTGTAAATTATTAGGCATATTTGGAAGGAAGAGACGATGGGCATGTATCATTGGATTAATATATCTCACATTGTATTCTGAGGCAAATGAAAAATAATTTTGGTATTTAGAATCCTAGAGAATTTGGGAGGAGGTAGGAGCCTCAGATTCATTCCTTCATTCATTGTTTATTAAGTGCTTACTATTTGTAAAGGAGGTGTTAAAAAAAGTTTTGTTACAACTCTACAAAGGGGTTACAAAGAAAGAGTGTAAAGAAAGCCTTAACGTTTTCCTAAAACTGTTCACAAAGTATAGGGGAGTGGGGGTACAGAGGAAACACTCAGCCTTGGCATAGGGCCACAGAGTTAAGTGCCAGACAAAGGCAGCACCTGGGCTCTGAGAATAGGGGGAAAATCTTAGCATGGGGATGGGGGGGTGATTGGGAAACATTCGATCTGACATAGTCGGGGAAGAGTCAGGCCCCACCAGGGCAAAACCAAGTACAGGAGGCCAGTGTTAATACTAAGTTCCCGGCCCATGCCAGGGCATGGGGTCCTGGGCTTGGAGCCAGGAAGATCTAAGTTAGAAACCTGCCTCCAGATACTAGATGTGTGTCCTGGGCAAGTCACAAGGATGTCTGCCTCAGTTTTCTCATCTATAAAATGGGGATAGTTTAACTACAAAGACCTATGAAGACGCTGTCTGTATCCAGAGAAAGAACCGATAAATAGAAGTATATATAGTATAGATTTACACATATGTACATATTTGTGTCTAATGGTAGAGGTGAAAAGGAGAAAGCTACATGATAACTTGATTATATATTTAAAAGTAAAAGCAAGTTGTGCGTAATAGATTTGTAGTTTCACGGGCAAACTTTTTTTTTTTACTATTGGGCTTTGTTATGGAAATGCTTGTTTTATTTCTTAAGTTCAGAAAGAAAAATAAAATAAAATGGGGATAGTGACAGCACTTACCTCCAGGGTTGTTATGAGGATAAAATGAGGTATCTGTAAAGTGCTTAATCTTAAAAATGCCATATAAATGCTAATTGTTAATATTATTATTATGTTGATTAGAATAATGCTATAGAGCTGTAACATCACAGAGGAAATAGTAGCCCCTTTTGGCTGAAATGGAGAGTGCTGGAGAGTAATGTGGAATAAGACTGGAAAGGTAGATAGGAGCCAGGAGGTGGGTTTTATATGCCAGGTTAAGGCAGTGTGGTATAAGGGAAAGAGTCCTAGATCTGCTGTCAGAGAACTGGGGTTCAAATCTTGGTTCTCTTATTTACTACTTGTGTGGCCTGGGCCTTGATTTCCTCATCTGTAAAAGAAAGGAGCTAGATCAGAAGGCTTCTCTGATGTCCTTGCTAGTTTCAAAAATATTTTATATTTTATCTTACAGGCAACAGGGCACTATGTCATTCACTCTCCTTTACCCCAGGAGAATGTATGTATACTTATATATACACATGTATGTATGTGTGTATGTTCCCTCATAGCAAGGACTTTGTATTCCTCGACTTTGTATCCCTAGTGCCTAACATAGTTCCTCCCACATAGTAAGTAGTTTTTGTTGTTGTTCAGTCATGTCTTACTGATCCCACGGACCATAGCACACCAATACCATCTATGGGGTTTTCTTGGCAGGGATATCAGAGTGGTTTTTCATTTCCTTTTCCAACTCATTTTACAGATGAGGAAACTGAGGCAAGCAGGGTTAAGTGACATGGTCAGAGTCACACAGCTAGGAAGTAAGTGTATGAGGCCAGATTTGAATTCAGGTCTTCCTGACTCCAGGTCCAGTATACTGAGCCACCTACATGTCTACAGTAAGTAGTAGACTTAAATGTTTGTGGAAGCCAACTGCTTCCTGCCCCTGACCTTCACCTTTCCAGTCTTCTTATACCTTATATTCTCCATACTCTGAGATCTGGGGACACTAGCTTCCTTACTGCTCTTTGAAAAAGACAATCCATCTCCAGACTCCATGTATTTTCCCTGCTTGTCCTCTATGCTTGGAACATTTTCCCTCCTCATCTCCCCAACTTGGCCTCGCTACCTTTTTCAATTCCCAGCTAAAATTTCATCTTCTAGGTCCTCCTTAATTCTAGTGCCTTCTAGAATCATGTCCAATTTATCCTGTAAATAGCTAGTTTGTACATTAGTTGATTGTGACTGTGAACTCTGTGAGGACAGGAACTGTCTTTTGCTATTCTTTATATCCTCAGAACTTAACACAGTGCTTAAACAGTAGGTGCTTAATACTGACTGAAATGTTTCCTGGAGGTAGGTTTGGAATCTAGTTTTGAAGGCATGGTTTGGCAGTGAGGAGTGAGAATGGCAGATGGGGAAAATGGTAGTATGGGAAGAGAGATGGAGGGGATAAGTAGGTGTGAATTTCAGGTTCACTAGCCAAAGGGAGAGAAACTATATCTCCCAGTACCATACCCACTTTTACCCCCAGCATTTAGGAACCCTAAGGCCAATGGTCTCCAGTTCCTATTCCTTGGAGAACCTCAGTCCTCCCAGAAGGAAATCAGTCCTTCCAAAGGATAGACCTCAGGCAAGGTGAGGTATAAGATTTTGACAGATGCTTCAGGGAAAGTTAGTGTGGGACCTAATCAATCCTGCCATATACTACTGAGAGCCTATTGTTAAACTTTCAGTGTGAATCTACCTTGGTAATGGGCAAAGGCTGTAAATTAGGGTTTAATTTATTGTTTTGTTGATTATCTAGACCTATGAAAGTGATGGACAGATTAAACTTAAAAGACAGTATGTAATGCGCTTTTCTTTCTTTTTTTTGGAGAGCCTGTCTTTAAATACGCATCAGCACACCCCAGAATGAAGCCAAATCTGACAGCTCCTTAACAGTTTCCTTTACTGGATCCTCCTCCAGATCACACCTCTAACCATAGTAGTCCCTCAGGGTTCTGTCCTGGACCCTCTTCTCTTCTCCCTCTATACTACTTCACCTGGTGATTTCATAAGATCTCATGTACTTAAATACCATCTCTATGCTGATGATTCTAAATCTACTTATCCTACCCCAACCTCTCTTCTGACTTTCAGTCTCATACCTCCAATTGCCTTTTAGACATCTTGAACTGGATGTCCAGTAGACATCTTAAACTCAATATGTCCAAAACAGAACTCATTATCTTTCCTCCTAAACCCTTCCCCCCTCCTACTTTCCCCATTATTGTGGAGGGCAGTACTATCCTCCCAGTCCCTTCGCCTGGAAACTTAGTAGTCATTCTGGTTTCCTCATTATCTCTTAGCTCCTCATACCCAATCTTTGCCAAGGCCCGTTGATTTCACCTTTGCAACATCTCTTGAATATGAACCCTTCTTCCTCTAGCACTGCTACCACCCTGGTATAGGACCTTTTCACTTTATGCCTTGATCATTATATGCAATATATGCAAAAGTCTACTGATGGGTCTGCCTGCCCCAAATCTCTCCCCACTCCAATCCATTCTCCATTCAGCCACTAAAATGATCTTCCTAAAATGTACAGGTTTGAACATGTCACACACACCCCATAAACCCAGTGGCTTCCTATTGCCTCAAGGTGCAAATACGTAATGCTCTGTTTGGCGTTCAAAGCCCTTCATAACCTACCCCCTTTCTATTTTTCCAGTCTTCTTACACTTTACTCTCCAACACATACGTTCCAATCCAGTGACACTGGCTTCTTGGCTACTCCCCTATTCTCTATTTCTTGGCTCCAGGCATCTTCTCTGGCTGCCTCCCATGCCAGGATGCTCTCCCTCTTCAGTTCCAACAATTGACCTCTTTGGCTTCCTTTAAATCCCAACTAAAATCCCAATTTCTACAGGAAGCCTTCCCCAACCCCTCTTAATTCCAGTGCCTTCCTTTTGCTATTTCCTATTTATCCTGTATATATCTTGCTTTGCATTTGTTTGCATGTTTTCTCCCCCAGTAGACTGTAAGGTCCTCGAGGGCAGGGGCCTTCTGTCTGTTTTCGTATTAGGAGCACTTAGCACACAGGCTGCCATACAGTATGCGCTTAATAAAAGTCTGATTGGTGAGAAGTGCAGAGCTCTCGCTAACAGGCTTACCCTGCTGCTTAGCAACAGCCAATTCCATCCCTTCCAGCCCCGCCCCGCCCCCGCCTCTCCTTCGTCTAGCTTCAGTCCTCCTTCGCTCCGCCACATATCCCTGACATGCGCACTAAGAAGCGTAGGAGGGGGCGGGGCGGCGGACTCCTCGGTGGCTCGCGGCCTTTCCCGTACCCAGCTCGCCCCGGCGCGGCGCGCCCAGTGACGTGTAAAGGAAGCGACTCTCGCCTAGGCCCCGGCGATAATCGACGGAGCGCCGGGTCCACCGGCCCAACGGCCATGGCCTCCGTCGGAGTGGTCTCCGGGCGACCGGCGGAGGAGACGCTGCCGCAACCGCAGGAGCCGCCGTTGCAGGAGCAGAAGCCCCTGCCGGCTCCCCAGCCTCCGCCGCAGGCGCAGCAGCAACCATCGCAGCCGCAGCCTCCGGCGTCGGTTACTCTTCAGCCCCCTCCGCTCCCGGGCCTCAAGGAGGAGGAGACCTACTCTTTCCTGCCTTTGGTCCATGACGTCATCAAATGGTAACGTGCTCTCCGCGCGAGCGCCCCTCCCCCTTCCTCTCCCCCCCTCCCCTCCTTTCCCCCCTCCCCTTCTCCCTCTTCTTCCCCCTTCTCCCCCATTCCCAGGATAAACTGCCCAGGGGTGACGTGCCCCTTCGCATCTCCAGTAAGTTCAGTGCATTTGTGCAGTACCCCGAGGATGTGGATCTTTGCAGTGTACATGTTGCCATGGTAAAGAAAGGACATGAACCAATGATGGCTTTGCCTGCCTCGGGTGGCTGCCAGCCGGTGGAAAGAGCGAAGGATCCAAGTCTGAGAGTCCTGCCAGTTAGCAACAGAGTGTCCTCTGTAAAGTGAAGGGGTTGGAATGAGGTGACTTTTAAGGGTTCTTCCAAGCTACAGATCAATACTGCTCTGACCTCTGAGGATCCTTTCAGCTCTTCATCAGTGATCTCCCTTTTGACAGTCAAGCATTTATTAGGCACTTACTGTGTAAGTCAGGTACTGTGCTTAGGCAACAGGCATGTATTAAGTGCTTGCTGTGTCAGCTAGGCATTGTGCTAAGTCAGTCAAGGGCTTATTGTGTAAGCCAGATACTGTCCTAAATTAATTAAGGGTATACTGTGTAAGCCAGGCACTGTGCTAAGTTAACGTTTATATTCTTTAAATTTATTTATTTTTTAGTTTTCAACATTCACGTGCATATGATTTAAGTTACAAATTTTCTCCCCATCCTTCCCCTCCCCCCACCCCAAGACCACTGTGCAATTTGATATACGCTCTATACATTCAAATTAAACCTATTTTCACATTAGTCATGTTGTAAAAAAGAATTAGAACCAATAGGAGAAACCACGAGAAGAAGAAACATAAGTTAACATTTATTAAGCCCTTACTGTGTAAGCCAGGCCCTGTGTGCTGGAACTGAAGATTCAAAGAAAGGCAAAAAAAGTGGTCCCTGCGTTTAAGGAGCTCACATTCTGATGGAGGAGACAGCATGCCAAAAAAACTATGCATACGAGATGTAGAGGTTGTCAGTGGAATATAATTCCAGAGGGAAGGCACTGGTTATGGAGTGACAGGGACTTAAAGACTTAGTGTGATATTTGGGGTCAGGAATTCCTAACCTTTGAAGTTAATGTCATGGGGGACAACAAGCTCTTAGTGCCCCTTCAGAAACTTAATCTAGGCATTGAAATTGACTCAGTATGATAAGCTGTATGTCTTTATGCATTCTGTTAATTAAACTAATGAGGAGAGCAGCAGGGTAGCCTGCCTTCACACAACTAAAAGGAGCCATGAAGTCATGTTGTCCAACCTTTAGCTGAACAGGAATACTGTTCTTTTTTTAAATCTCTCCACAATGTCTGAGCTGTACACAGTTGGTACCACTTGCACATCCACTATCAAATCCCTGACAGATTATTGGAAAGAATTGTTCTTCATGCTCAAAGAGGACCATGACATTAAGGAGTGATACCATGGCATGCAAGTAAATTGAAGTGAGAGAGAGCTGTGCAAAGTCACCAGCCTCACTTTCTCCTCCAGAGCCATCTGGTTCCAGTGGCAAGATACAGATCAGGATGACTGGAGATGGCCCTCATTGGGAATAGTATGTACAAGAAGTTAGAAGACCTAAGAGTTTCTAGTCCGTTATGTGATTGGATAACTTTCCCATTCTGGGCCTGTTTCCTTCTTTGCACAATGAAGGGATTAGATTAGAACTAAAAGAGACCTTAGAGATTATCTAATGTTCTAGGGTTCTGACTTCTCTCTACCTATTCTTGTTCCATTCATTTTTTTACTTCTTTGATCAGTCTCTCCCCACCGCCTCTTCCCTCTGCCAATTCCCAGACACGAATTCTCGGCTCAATACCCTCTCGTTGGGCAGATCATTCAACCTCTCTTTTCTTGTTTTGTTCTCTGACAATCAGAATTGGAAGAATCAGATGAGAATGTAGCATCTTATATTTGTACAGGCTTTCACATCTATTGTTATAATTATTTCTACTAAGAATTTAAGTTTCCCCTCCCCTCCTCTGTACTAGTACCAGACTGGAAAAGGTTGCATAGTATAGTGCAGAGAGCACAGAAGACCTATGTTCTAATCTCAGGTCTATGATTAACTAGTAGAGTGACTTAACTTCACTGGACCTCCATTTCTTTCCCTGTAAAATGAAAGGGTTGGAAAAGGTTCCTTTTAGTTCTAAAATTATGTAATTTTTTCCCCCATTCTTTCCAACCCATCTCCTATTCCCCAAAATCAGCCTAAAACTATCACCAGTCTGGATTTTTGGGGACCTTTTCTTCAAGTAAGCAGTCAGATTTTTCACTGTTACTGTTGCTTATATTGTATCCCCAATCCCATTTCAGTCAAAATGATATTCATGCCTCAAGATCCAGTTCACACAATGGCCTCCTTCACGATGGCTTTCTTGATGATGTCCAGTACTCATATAAATCTATGAGCTAATTAATTTGGTTGTTTCATCTAAGGATTCAGCATATAACTCATCCATGCCTACCCCATGGCCTACAAGTCATTGGCCCCTCTCACATCTTTTTCTTGATACATTTTTTCCCAGTAAATTTCTTGCCATCCTCCACTTTTCCCATCTTTGCATTGAGGTCATTGAGTGTCACCTGGAGATGTTGATTTTAATCTGGAGAATTTTATCAAGTTCTTGTAGAATTTCTTTACTCCATCATCTTCCTTGGTAGATGTTGGTGCATCAGCTGTAGTTATTTCCATGGAAGCCTTTTTGTAAATAGTATCATGAGCACTTCAATACAAGATGGCCAAATGTATTGGGAAATAAATGTGTCTTCTTGCCTTCGGGCTTACAGTAAAACCGATTCTGCCAATCCCTTTATTTGCCTCTTCAAGGTGTATTTGGGAAAAGCATCCTTTTATTTAATTGTAACTTCTTTCTTATTTCTTCTGGTGTTATTTACAATGGGAAGTTTAAGATTAATATAATTCAGTTGTTCCAGGAATATATTGTGATAATTGCCGTTTTAAAAATAGGAATTTTCACATGCCCACTGGTCATTGGACAAGAATCTCACATTTAGAGTATTAACAGTCAAGTTAAAGTTTATGGACGATCTAAAAATTGTGCTCCCTCTGTCCCTTTTTCTAACACATTACCACTATTATTGTAGAAATAAAAGGAAGGCCTCATAGGACTGAGGGCCTTTTTGTATTTTTTTTTTGACTTAAGATTTTTCCATTCCAAAAAATTTATCATGAAGTAGCTGATTCTTAGAAAGCAGACTCAATCTGTTGCTTTTCCAGAATAGAAAACCTGCCTATGCTTACATTTAACCTCTCATGACCTTTGAGAAACCAGGATCCATATACATGCGAAAATGAGGCATTGGAATAGTACTTTGTGTAAAACTTCCTTGATCCAAAAGTGGTGGGTGCTTCACTTGCAAAATGAGGGGCTTTGACTACATAAGTTTCTTCCAACTTTGAGTTTTCTATTGCAAATTATTTCTTGTATTATAAATATTTTATTAGTATGTATCTGTTATCTCCTATACAAGATAATCAGCTCTGTGTATCCCATAACATTGCATTTTGCATATAGCAGATGCTCAATAAACATTTGTTGAGTGAATGAAAAAATTCATGATTAGTTTATACATGCTTTCTTTAGAGAGTACAGAACGAAAAAGGGGTGGGGGGAGGAATCTCATTTCAACATTCTTTTTGAAAATTGAGCTCATTAAGTGGAAATCACACTAGATTTAAAGTCAGAACACCTTATTTCAAATCAGGGCTCTGCTGCATACTACAAGTGTGGCTTTGGGTTGTCACTTAAATTCTCTTGATCTCAGTTCCTTCATCTGTAAAATGTACAATTCTGAAACTGTAATTCTTTTGACTGTAAGGTCGCAGAATCATCAAAGTTGGAAGGGATTTAGAAACCTCTCCCTCTCTCTACAACATCTCTACCAAATGATCATCCAGCATTTGTTTGAGGAAATCAAATGAGAGGAAGCCTCCTCCTCCTGCAGCAGAAAGAGAAATTGGGTAAACTATAAATTAACTCCAAAAGTGGAGGGGGAGGGGGAAGTAAAAAAATCCTGGGCTAAATGAATTCACCAATTTCTACCACGCAATTTATGAGCAAATCCCATACTGTGATCAGTCATTTACAAAAACAAAGAAGGAAGAAATAAACAAATTTGTATTATTGAACAGATTTAGTACTTTATTAAATCTTCCTGCTCATGCTGCTTCCATTCCTGCCTTCTTCCCTACCTCCTCTCCATCTGAAATTTGGGCTTCCTTGCTCTAGGGATTACCATGGCCTCTGGCAGGTGAGCTTTTGCTTTATGTTACCTTGAACCAAGCCTCTACCTCATTTCCTGGCCAACTGATCCAAACCCTACTGCTCCCATGCCCTTTTCCTCCTTTCAGACTCACTTTTATGGAATATCTTAAGATCTCCACTAGAATGTAAGCTCCCTGAGAGCAAGGATTGTTTTCCTTGCTTGTATTTGTGTTCTGTTGCGTAGCACAGTGCCTGACACCTAGTAGGGGCTTAATGAATGCTCCCTCTGTCTTTCTATTTATCCTAATCAAATTACCCAAGAGTGGTGATAGTTTTTATAGGTTAGTAATAACAACAAATTCAGTTGGCATAATAAAAGATCGAGAATAATAAAAAAAAGTAATAAAAACAAGAGGAAGGAAGTGGGCTTGGCATGACTAGATCTTAAACTATACCACAAAGCAATAATTATCAAAATGACCTGGAAATAGATGTTTTAAAACATAGTACTAAATGCATGGAATAGACTAAGCAAAGGCTTACAAACAGAATTGCATAGCAGTTCATAAAATCCAAAAACACAAACTGCCTTGGGAAGGAACTTATTAATTTAACAGGAATTACATGAAAACTTAAAAGCAGATGAGTGAGAAATAGGTTTTAATTGGCATCTTGAATCTTATCAATTCCAATTGGATCTACATATAAGAAGTCACACCATTAAAAAAAATAGAG